TCTAGTCACGTTAACACTAAACCTCTGACAAACCCACTTATCAATCCTCATCAATAGGATGATAAGTCCACAAAGTTGCTCCGATCGCAACACATTCCTGTCACGTTAACAATATACCTCTGACAACAATCCACTTATCAATCCTCGTCAATAGGATGATAAGTCCCCAAAGTTGCTCCAATCGCAACACAAATCCTGTCACGTTAACACTAAACCTCTGACAACCCACTTATCAATCCTCTTTAATAGGATGATAAGTCCTCAAAGTTGCTCCGATCGCAACATTCTCTTGTCACGTTAATATCAAACACCTCTGACAAAATCAACTTATCGACTCTCGTCAATAGAGCGATAGGTCCTCAAAGTTGCTCCGATCGCAACACTTTCCACTTATCGACTCTCATCAACGGAGCGATAGGTCCATAAAAATACTGTTAGGTTAACATCACACTTCTAACAGTCAAACCCCCAATGAACTTGTTAATCCTTTTTCAACAAGAATAGCAAGTTGTCATTATAAAATCCCCAACGGATTAAATATTTTCTGGAATTATCCTAGTGATAATAAAGAAAATTTCTGAATTTCACTCTAAGTGAAAATTCATGCCAAGTTAATATTACACCTCTGGCGCTTCCAACTTTCTTTCAGTGTTTCAAGTAACACAGGAAGAAATAACGACAAAGTCTACGTATTCAACATCGTAGCACCAAAATCCATGCCTTTTACGCATGGGGGACTTTATCTCGATCCCTAATTAGAGATAAGCCTACGCCTAACACGCGTTGCCGGTTAGTCTTTTCCCGTGAAAATGACAAAGTCTATGTATTCAAAATCATAGCATCAAGTCTAAGAGGGTTCATTCTCTTAGCACAACGTTACATGTGGAACGGACTTAGACAATCCACATGCTAGCCCGACTCAAACGGTAGTCGGTAAAGGCTTATCAAATCCGTTGATGGCTGAGGGTTTGCCAAAAATCCTATGCACGTTTGCAGGCCCATTAGCTTAATGGATGTGAGCCGAGACTTAAAACAGATGAGCCAAAGGTCACACCCGTGTTCCAAATTCAACATGTAAGGGTGAGACCCGCATCTCAAGTTCAAAATGTAGGGTCCACCCCCACATTCCAGAAGCAGGATTATGGCGCATACCTTCACACAGGTCCTACGTGGCAAATCCCTTCAACCATGATGCCTTCGAAGCAAGTGCAGAGAACAAATCCTTTACCACAAGGAATCAACAGCTCCAAGATCAGAGTTGAGATCCAAAGTATTCCGAAAATTCGTCCCAGTCAACCGCGAACTTTCGAAAACTTTGGAGGGGGTTCTGTAGGCTGTCTAAAAATCACAATAGATAGCTGATCCCCATCAAAACACCGATGATGGAAGTTACAATCTGACGACTTCCAGATGGCTACAATTTGAAGACTTTCACGTAGATCGCTAAAGGTTACAATCTGACGACCTTCACGACAACTGATGGAAGCTCTAATCAAACAGCCTTCATAATCAACATCGGGAGTTACAATCTGACGACTCTCACATATCAGAGAGCTAAAGCAAAGATTACAAAATAACGATCTTTGCAATGCTTCGACAGAAAGAGACTACAAATCGACGGTCTCTTCAAATCAAACTGCGGAAGTCCTCCCCGCACACCAGCATCAAGACGCACCGTGTTCATAGCCACGAACGCAGCGCAAACATAGCTCCAAAAGCTGCAAACGCAGCTCAAACGCAGCTTCCAAGCTACCAAACGCAGCTCAACGCAGCTCCAAGCGCTGCCAAACGCAGCTGCCATCTGCTGCTCAACGCAGCTGCCATCTGCTGCTCAACACAGCTCCAAGCGCTGCCAAACGCAGCTGCCATCTGCTGCTCAACGCAGCTGCCATCTGCTGCTCAACACAGCTCCAAGCGCTGCCAAACGCAGCTGCCATCTGCTGCCAAACGCAGCTTTCAAGCCGCCAAACGCAGCTTCCAATAAGACGCTGCGTCCGAGCTTCCAATCGCTGCGTCCGAGCTTCCAATCGCTGCGTCCGAGCTTCCAGACACTGCGTTTGAATGCAGAATTCACGCCAGAACGCGGATTTTGCGTTTGACTCGTTCAAACACGAGCTGAACAGTTTCAAAACCGTTTCCCACGATCTGAGGGGATCACAACTCCACTCAGGAGTGATTTAAGGGGTGGTTACATCCCATTAGCCCCACTTAGGAGCGAATTAAGGGGGCGGTTACACCCCTTAATCCCCTATAAATAACTAAGAAATCATCTTAGTTCGGATCCTTCTTTTTGGGCAGCAAAAAAGAGATCTCGGACTGGCTTTTGGATCCTTCTCCTTAACAGAAGAGAAGAGATCTTTGGCTTGTCTAACCAATTACGGTTAAGATCAAACAAACTCATTCAGAGTTCTAAAACTTGCCACGCAAGTTCTCCACAACGTCAAATCGTGAGGAGAAGACCACGTTCCAGTGAAACAAGACGTATCGTCAACGAGAAGCAAACTCGACGCAAGCATTCGAGGGAGGCATCTCATCGCTACCGTGAAGAACCCAGAATTAAACAAAGGGGAGAATCCAGATCATTCTCTTCTCTTTTGTAACCAGGAATCCAAATTGTAATCGAGAGTTGAGAGAGTTGCAATCATTCTTTTTCTAAGCAGTTAGAGAGAATAAAATCAAACGCAATTCTTTCCTTATATTCTTTTTATTACAAAATTTTTCCACAAACACTTACCTTAAAGTAAGGAAAATAATTTGAGTTGTTTGCAATCTCCTCGGGAACTTCTTTTGGGGCTTGCTTCATGTACCGATCACGTAATCCATTCATTGCTTGCAAGACTTTATTGAAATACCTGCTAACTGTTTCCCCTGATCTTATGAACTCAGTTCTTATTATTCTATTTTTAGTTTTGTGCCCAACAATACTCAGGAACATAGCAAGCTGTTCTTCAACTTGAACGTGTCTTGTATCTTTTAATAAACCGTTTGCTTTCATTACTTCAACAAGTTTAAAAAAGACCCTCGGTCTCATTCTAATATAAGATTGGCGGCTATCTTGATAGCCCTCCAGTACACGTCTGAAGTGAGCCTCTCTACAATATATTTTTCTGTTCTTTTCTTGCTTCGTACAATTTGATATTCTCTTGCGCTTAGCACGCATTCTCAAGATACATGTTACCAAAGTGACCACGGCGCAGATAGCTGTATTAGCACACATCCTCTTCAATTCTTCCTCATCTTCCATATCCATCTACATCCGTTTTAAAGTTATCATACAGTTACAGCTTAAGATGACTACTTATTTCTTATCAAAATTAAGTAGATAATTGATACAAATATTTATTTCTTCAAAAGCAAGAAATCTAATTGAAATGAAAATTATTTTAACTAATGTTGCATTCCATCTCACACAATTATCAAGAACAACACATTTTATTACTCGGTGGATTTTCATGTAATGAACTTAACCCTATACTTCATGTCATGCATTCACATTCTTTGGTAAACACATATATTGTAAACAACTCATTCACACAAATATCATGCATTCTATTTCACACAATTAACTGAAATTTAGTCAACATGTATCCTATTTTCTGGTAATTATACATGTAACGAATTATCAAGAATATTATCATTCTACAGAAACAGTTCATCACATTAAGCACGAAGAAATTAGTCTAAAAAAGAGTTTAAAATTTTATACCTAGCTGCAGAGGGGGGAAAATACCGACGTCCAAGCAGCAAAGTTGCCGAATACAGAGAACCCACCGTAGCCAACAAAATGCTCCGAACCAGAACAATTTCGAGTAGGTAACACCAAGAATCAAAGGCTAGAAACCCACCAACCAGATCGTGGAAATCAAATTAAATAAATCAAAGGCCAGAAACCCACCGAAGACAGAGAATCTAGGGTTTCGACAAACAGCCCCGACCCCAAGTAGAAGAAGATGAAGGGCGGGAGAAGAGGCGCGAAGACGAAGGGCAGGAGAACAACGATTCCAGATCTAGGGCTTGATTTCGTGACCTCTAGGAATCAGAATCGACATTGAAGCAAATGTCAGAAATCTCGCCCAAATCCGCCCAGACTTCTCTGATTTGGGTTTCTATAAAAAAAACCATACTGTTGCTACTTCTAGGAATTGGTAATCCCAAAAAAATTTCTGAGCCAAACTCAAGAATAGGATCCCATACTGTTGCTACTTCTAGGAATTGGTAATCCCAAAAAAATTTCTGAGCCAAACTCAAGAATAGGATTCACAAAGAATTCAAAAATTACAATTCTAAGAATAGGATTCACAAAGAATTCAAAAATTACAATTCTGCCACTGTCAGTCCCCAATTCCTAATCCTTTTCTATAAATTGATGAAACAAACAGCCCCTTACCATATAAAAGGATAGAAAGTGTAAAAAAGTGGGACCCAATGTTGGCTTTTATCACTTTCAATTGTTTGTTTATAGTTGTAAAAATAGTATAAAGTGATTTCATATGCTGATGTGGCTTGTAAAGTGATTTCGTTAAAAAAAACATGATTTTAAGAGAAAGCTGACATTGAAGTCAGGAAAAAATAATAAAAAATAGGAAAAAATGCTTCCAGCCCCCAAAACACAACAAAACGTGCTCCCCCTCCTAAGACTTTTTCAACGGGTGCTTTGCCCCCAAAAACGTCCGTGATTTTCTTCCAGCCCCCAAAACGAATCCCCAGGCGTAACTCCGTTTAAACCCCGCTCGAAATGCCCAAAATACCCTTCACAGCCTGTGTTCGTCGCCCTCTCACGTTGGAAACTCAGCGTTTCGACTGTAGGCATTAAATGGTGATTAGAATGTCTTTTTTGGGGGAAATTCTCATTTCCCTCCAAAATTATCACCAGGTATATTCCCCTTCTAGCTAAGATCGCTGAGTTCCTCCCCATTCTATTACCCCAACTAATTTGTTCCTTCCACTTAATTCTCCTCAATAAAAGCCTCTTCGGTTCTTCAACTACTCCCTGTAATAAAATGGCGGATGGATCTCTTCTATGCGTGGTAACGAAGGCAAAAAGCAACAAAGGTGGTGACGGTGTATTCGTCGTTATCAAAAAGAATACAGAAATAATCAGCTTGAGATATCAAGTGGCGGAAAGGCTTAAAATACCAATGCAATCTCTTTCACTGAAGTTCATTTGCGAAAGGGAAAAGAAATTCAGTATTTCAATTAACAATGACGATGACTTAAATTTGATGTTCGAGTATTGTCGGCGTAATGGATTTACAGACGCGAATTTGTATGCTACCTCTGCTGGGGAATCCTCAACTTCGCAGAACACGCAGACTACACTGGAAACTGCGTAGGAATTACACTCCATATTTCCTTTTGAGTTCACTGATAGGTTTTGCCATTAGTTGTTAACCTCATGCATTGGTTGCTTAGGTAATGTGTTGGTTGTCAATGTTATGTTAAGCACTGGTTGTTAAGGTTATTTGTTGGCTGTTACGTATACTAGTTGGTTGCTAAGATAAGGTGTTTGATGTTAAGTATATGTGTTTGTTGTTAAGTTCATGAGTCTGTCCTTAAGTATAAGGGTTAGTTGTTAAGTATATATGTGTTGGCTGTTACGTTTATGAGTTCGTTGTTAAGGTTATCAGTTCGTTGCTAAGGCTATGTATTTTTATTACTACTTCAGGACAATACCGACAGAAAATTCATGGTGCGCAGATACCACGTTCACCCAAACGTGTAATGATGAGCGTATTCCTAATGACAACCCCACCGGCGATTCGATCATGCTGTTGGAAGACATGCTTAATCACCAAACAAAGATCCCAACTGAGTGGCACACCTCCATACGTGAAGTTGGTCAGAAATTTGATAGTGCTGCTGAAGTTAGATTAGCACTTCAATACTATTCAATTGCTAAATGGTTCGAGTATGATTTTTACCACAATGAACAAAGACGCATAAGAGTCTATTGCCGATTCAAGCACACACATGGTTGCCCTTGGATGTTGTTTGCTTCCCCGCTCAGAAATTCGTCTATCATGTCCATAAAGAATTTCGAGTCTATCCACACCTGCGGTCAACATGGAGCAAATGCTGGCAACTCAAGGGCATCAAGGAAGTTCATTGCTAGCCAAACACAGGCTATTTTGAAGATTAGGCCAGATCTACGTGCGGTTGATATCAAGAACGACATGCTCTCTAATTTTGACATCAAGATTAACTATAGTAAAGCATGGTGGAGCAAGGAGACAGCTCAACAGGACCTGTTCGGTGACGATGATGAGGCTTACGATTCACTGAGATGGTCCTTATCTTTTTTATTCTTCTGAAATCACTCTTACGTTTTGGTTGCTAACTATACGTAGTAGTTGTTAAAGTTGTTGGTTCGACGTTAAGTATACGGGTTGGTTGTGAAGTTTGAAGATCAGTTGTTATAGTTATGAACTCATTGCTAAATCTACTGCTTATGTTTTCGTTGCTAACTATACGTATTAGTTGTTAAAGTTATCGGTTCGTTGCTAAGTGTGCGTGTTGATTGTGAAGTTTGAAGATCAGTTGTTATGGTTATATATCCGTTGCTAAATCTACTGCTTACGTTTTCGTTGCTAACTATACGTATTAGTTGTTAAAGTTATTGGTTCGTCGCTAAGTGTACGTGTTGGTTGTGAAGTTTGAAGATCAGTTGTTATGGTTATATATCCGTTGCTAAATCTACTGCTTACGTTTTCGCTGCTAACTATACGTATTAGTTGTTAAAGTTATTGGTTCATCGCTAAGTGTATGTGTTGGTTGTGAAGTTTGAAGATCAGTTGTTATGGTTATGAATCCTTTGCTAAATCTACTGCTTACGTTTTCGCTGCTAACTATACGTATTAGTTGTTAAAGTTATTGGTTCATCGCTAAGTGTATGTGTTGGTTGTGAAGTTTGAAGATCAGTTGTTATGGTTATGAATCCTTTGCTAAATCTACTGCTTACGTTTTAGTTGCTAACTATACGTATTAGTTGTTAAAGTTATTAGTTCGTCGTTAAGTATACGTGTTGGTCGTGAAGTTTGAAGATCATTTGTTATGGTTATGAATCCTTCGCTAAATGTACTGCTTTGTTGTTATATTCATGCAGGTATGAATCCATGGTGCATGCAACTAATCCAGGGAGTCGTGTTGTTATTGATGGTGATGACGGGAGGTTCAGGTGATTGTTCATTAGTTATAATGCCTGTATTAAAGGGTTCATTGCTGGGTGTAGGCCTCTATTGTTTTTAGATGGAACATTTATTAAAGATCGTTACAGAGACATACTACTTAGCGCTATTGGGTATGACGGCAACCAAGAAACATTTCCCCTTGCTTATTGCGTATGCGACCAAGAGAATGAGGTTAACTGGAAATGGTTCTTACAAGGATTATGGACGTTACTGTATGATAGGAAAAATCCTTTCCAACCTCCACATCGACTGGTAATGATTTCCGACGCCGACAAGGGTATCAGGGTAGCAGTCGAGGAATTCTTTCCAGATGCATTCCATTCAAGGTGTGTTCTGTATATAGTCGAGAATTTCAAAAGGAAAATGAAGGATTTTGGGCACAAGGCAATGTTGGCCTTCTTGTTTTGATGATGTTTAACAAACAATTTACTTCTAATGTTGTTTGTCTAGTATTTGTGTTTTCGTATTTATTCTAGGCAAACAACATTGTTGGAGGTTGGATGGATTGCGCTTCAACGATCATATCAAGAGGAGGTTGGCGGAATAGTGGAGTGAAGTATTGCATTCAAGTTCAAGATCCAAGTTTTAGCTTCATCCGCAAGTGTACCAAGATAGAGCTTCGTTGAAGATCACAAGCTTGGGTATATTTAGTTTAGGTTTTTATACTTGTGTGTTGATACTTTAAGCTCATATTATTCACACACACGTATTTGTTGATTTTATCAAAATATAGGTGTTTTTGTGAAAACATTATTTTATTAGTTTATAGACTTTAATATCAGTTTATACATAGTTTATAAAGTTTATAAAATCATTTTGTAGAGTTTCAAAAGTTTGTTTAAATCAAATGTCAAAACATGTATGTTTCGTTTTCATGTTTTTGGACATATTTGAAAAATGATGGGTTTTCACTATTGGGGAATGCAATTCCAACAATTTCTTTTTGTAACATGTTTATTATCATGTTTATAAACATTTTCCAAAGTTTCATAATTTTTGGAATTTATTTGTTATTTTTAAAGGCACTTTAAAAATCAGTTTTCCAGCATGAACAGTGCCTGTGCATGTTTATAAGTCGACTTATAAACCCTGACAAGTCGACTTATGAACTCCTCTAGAAAGTGCATTTTCTCCTCTGCTAAGTCGACTTATAAAGCAAGGCAAGTCGACTTATATAAGTCGACTTATAACTTTTTATAAGTCTACTTATGAAGTGTTGCACAGTTATGTATTTTTGACCAGTTTACAAAATAAATTATTTCTCTCAAATGGGAAGTGATATTTAAGAAATTCCTTCTCTAACATGTTCATATACACGTTTAGAAGCTTCCCTAAAAATTTTATAATTTTTGGAGTTAATTTACTGTGTCAAATTGATTTTAGAAAATCGGGTGTTTCAGCAGTTTTTAGAATCTGAAATATCTGTATTCAAATATTCATTTCTCACAAATGAGAAGTGATATTTCAGAAATTATTTTTGTAAAATGTTTATTTACATGTTTAGAAACATCCCTCAAAATTTCATAATGTTTAGAGTTGATTTACTATTTTTAACTGATTTTACAAATCCAGATACGCATAATTTTCAGCATCTGCCAAAAACTGTATATGTCATAAGTCGACTCTAAGTCGACTTATCAGAGAGCCGTTGCACAGTAACGGCTAGTTTTCTGTTTTGTTTGTTTTTGGGTTTTTGGTCATTTCCTTGGGGTTTTGGCTGATGTCTTGGGTTGTTATAAATACCCCATTGCATTTACCTCTCCCATCTAACAAGAACAACAAGAGAAAAGTTTTTAAGAGGTTTACAAGTTTTGTTTAAGGGTTTAGTGTTTGTTTAAAAAGCTTTTAAGCATTTACAAGAGTTTGATTTGTGGAGCAAATTTCACAAGAGCAAGTGGAGATCATCCTTGGTGTTTGAGCATTCATTCTTCTCCCTCTCTCTTGTCATCTATAGAGAAGTTTCCTTAAACTCAATTCTAGCATTTTATAAGTTTGTTCTTAATTTCATAAGCTAGATTTCATATTGAGTTTATATTGTTTTATCTCTTTGTTCACACACAACCTATTGAGCTTATTGTATTTACATTCATAGTATAATTTGGGGTTGTGGGTTTGTGACTAAGAGTTGTGCTTAATTGAGTTCTCACCTTGTTAGAGAGAACAATCATTTGTCATATTGTGCCTAATTGTGAGGATTCACTTGTAATACACTTGTACACCGAGAGAAGTGTGTGGTGAGAGACGGGGTCGAATCCAAGAGGAGTGGCGTCGGTTGACGTGCCTAGGGAGAGGTTGTAACCGAGCACTTGAGGAGGAGGACACGGGCTAGGACCAACACTTAGTGTGTGAGGTGTGATTACATAGTGATTGTATTGTGAGGTGTAAACGTTGTTCGGGTGAACGTAGAAAACCCGGTTGTGATAGTGGAGATCTCCTCGAGGTGAGGAGCGGGGACGTAGGTCGTGGGGACCGAACCTCGTAAACATATCGTTTTGTTTGTGATTGCATTGGCGTTCTTATTCTTGTTTTCATATCTTATATCGCCTTTGTGTATTGCTCATCATATTACCCTATCACTTGTGTAGATTGTTTATTTTACCCTTGTGTTAGTTCATATATCCTTGCTCATATATTTGTAATATCTCATTGATAGGATATATTCATTTGTTCATATTGCTTATCCTAGCTTACGTATCTTGTTGTATTTTATACTTGCTAGGATAACTTATTAATTAGTTTTAATTGGCATTTAATCGGATTAGATTAGCATAAGACCCTAATCACCCCCCCTCTAGGGTCTAACAATTGGTATCAGAGCTTGGTGCTCTTTGATTTAAGGTCTAACCACCTTGAGTTAAAGATCCAAGTTATCTTATTTGTGCTAATCTAGTTATGATTGCATTTGTCTTGCTTGCATATGTTCATATATATATCTTGAATATGAATGTATTTTGTTTAGGCTATAAATCCAATGTTGCTCCTAAATTCATTAATTTTCCCTATGCACAATGGGCTTCTAGATTTAAACTATTTGTTGAATCTAGAAATATTGACTTATGGAAAATTATTGATTGTGCTTATATTGTGCCCACATTGGAGAAATCCAAGTGGAGCGATCATGATAAGAAAATGTTTAATATGAACAAGTTTTTGTTAGAGTATTTGCTTAATGCCTTTGACTCATCATTTTCTAACAAATTTGTTCATTTTGATAGTGCTTACAATTTATGGAAATTCATAGAAGCACATCAAGGCAACTTGGAGGAAATCCGACGTAGTTTGGAGGATTGTTCTTCAAGTGAGTGTGGAGCATCATCATGCACACGGCCACTAGGCGATAGCCCTAGTGTGGTAAGCGATTCGGAATCCGAAAGTGATATATCCATCAATGAACTCGCTTGTGCATATGAGAAATTATTGCATGCCTATACAAAATTACAAAATAATTTTATTGATCTTAAAAGCAAGCATGTAGAATTGAAATCCGATCATGAGAAGCTAGTGTCCAAATTTGACATCATTGAAAATGAAAATATAATGCTTAAAGAAAACAATGATATGTTAAATTTGAAAAATAAAAAATTAACCTCATCCATCACTAGCTTATCTCATGTTAAAAATAATGCCATGTTAGAAGTAGAGAACATACAAAATGATACCGCTTCTTTTATAAATAACAATATATGTTCTACTTCTAATAACAATACTTGTATGCATAATGATGAGTTGAATCATGTTAAGGATCACATATCATCTTTAGATTCAACCCTTAAAACATGTATTGTTAATCATGATAAGCTTATGAACATGTGTGCTAAGTCTCATGCTAAAACATCTAAACATCCTATTCATCATGCACACATGTATAGCAAAGTCTACAAATGCACAAATTGCGGTCGTAAAGGCCATCTTGCTAGATTTTGCTATGATGCACATAACCCCACCAAGATTCACTTTAATCCTCCTTGTGCATCTCATCAAGCTTCATCATCACATTTTGCACACACACATGCACATGCATCTATTTCTCATCATAAGCATGCTAATGTGTATAAATGTGTTCTATGTGGTCGTTTTGGCCATTTGGCAAAGTTTTGCTTTGATTTGAAAAAGAATTCTAGTTTGCCAAATGTTTCTAGTAGAACACATGTTTTTAAATGTGATGTTTGTGGTAGATTTGGCCATTTGGCGAAGTTTTGCTATGATTTGAAAAAATGTTCAAACTTGCCAAATTTCTCAAGTAAACCACCTTTGCTTAAAAATGTTTTACACTTGCAAAATAATTTTAAAAGACCATCCATGTTTGCAAATGATTCTAATGTTTCCCGTGCACAACCGTTTGGTCAACATAAGCAAATGCTTCCTTTCCATTGTACTTATTGCAATCGGAAGGGTCATTTGAGTAATTATTGCTATGACTGATCCCGTGCACCATATATGTCCAAGAGGGTTCATAACCCTAGGACTTTGAGCTTTAATGATAGGGGTCATGTCCCTAATCTCTTAGGTACCAAGAGTAATTTGGTGGTGAGTAAATTTTTAGCATATTCATGTATGCTTGCTCACATATGTTTTGCCATGATCTTTATTGCTTATATTCTATATGGCATTTTGATAGGGGGAGCAATCCCTATACTTGCTTCATACTCACCCATGCTTATTTGTAGGGGGAGCTTTCGCTCTCTTAATTCTTTTGTCCCCTTTTTGATGTTGTCAAAGGGGGAGAAATATTGTGAGTATATCTATCTTGTTTGTTTATATGCATGTGAGTTATTATCTTGTATATGTTCATTTCCTTCATGCATATATTCCTTTTTGTAAATTGTTTGTCATCATCAAAAAGGGGGAGATTGTTGGCCTTCTTGTTTTGATGATGTTTAACAAACAATTTATTACTAATGTTGTTTGTCTAGTGTTTGTGCATTCCTATGTTTTGTAGACAAACAACGTTGTTGGAGGATGGATGGAATAGAGCTTCAACGATCATATCCAAAGGAGGTTGGCGGAATGTCGGTGAAGCCTTGCTATTCAAAGTTCAAGATCCAAGTTCAAGCTTCATCCGCGAGATTACCAAGTCAAGCTTATTGAAGATCAAGATCATTGCTTGGGTAATTTAGTTTAGGAATTTATATTATGTGTGTTAGTACTTTAAGCTCAATCATATACACACATACACGTTTTGGTTTTTGTATATATATAGTTATATATATACATATATGTTTTGGTTTGATAGTTTTCAAGTTTTACTATGAAACAAATGAATAGAATTGGAAAATACTATTTTGTTTCATGTTTATATGCCTATATATGATTTCACCTTTAACAAGCTTATATTTAATGAAATCATATTTAGTGTTTTGAATATATTGCATAGAATATGCAATTTTATGAAAATATTGTATTTCTAG